GGTCAGATTTACGGCGGCCGATTCACATTGATTTAACCTCTCGTCTAAGAACGGTGGTGTAGCACCGACAATCAGCGAATCCGAGACGCACTGCCTCATTCTATTCATCTAAGTTTTCCCGTTATCCGGCGTCGCCAACGCTGCAGCCATCTTTCAAATAAACTCAAGTCCGGCATCTGCCTCGAATCTCTTGATTTTTCTGGCTGTCGGCTATGGCGGCCGTTATTGGACAAGGATATTTCTAATGGGAAACTCGGGTTTCTCAGAGGAACCCCGGTCATTAGAGAAATCTTCAAAAATTCTAATGTGAAACCCCTCCGAAACTTCGGCCTCGGGTCGGTGCACTCGGGATCATCTCGACGCGAATCAACACAGCCGCCTCCCGTATGCCAATCTCGAAGCTGGTGCCTCATGCAATAATATATCAGAAACACCACCCCTCGGGACTCATACCTTACCCGCTCGGGCAGTATTTCAGGATGTTCAAGCCGCAATTCCGAGTCGTCCTCTTTTGGCTGGTGTACAAACCAGTGAACAGGTAGATAACCTTGTTCAAAGTCTACAAGATCTGTGAGCTCAGGCCCCCCACACTCATTTCATAAATCTGGCGCTTTCGCGTACCAGCCATCGAGATATCGAGGAAATTTGCAGCGAGCAGATTCTTGATCCACCTGGGATTCACATAAAGGTTGTCCTCGCACTGCGCGGCTCACGAATGCACGGGAGACGTAGACAGGGAGGTGGAGGTACTGCCGGTATCAATACTCGCCGTCGCGAGGTCATCAACTCGCTCGCTGACTACCCAGTGAATGAGGACAACTTGGGTTCTGGTCCTAAACTGAAGAAATCCTGTTCCGGGCACATATACTTACAAATGTGCACTGCACCGGAAAGTGGGACGCAATCGTTCCCATTGTCCGAAAATGGGTAGAAAAACGTGTGGAATCAATAGTACTTACGATTCGACCTATTGGATTCTGTTACTTGTATCGGCGGATGGCGGGTGGGCCGGAACTCAGACCCTTATGGCGATACCAGCCGCTAGGGTTTCTGCGGGAAACCCGGGTTCCTCAATAACACAACAAATATTGCAGGGGTTTCTCTGAGAAACCCGGGTTTCCCATTAGAATTATCCATTGGACAAAACCCCAGTGGGAGTGAGCGTCGATGCATGGCCATGCGTGGATGTGCGTGGGGCAAGTGGGCACTCGTTCAAAGCGGGTGATGCCGCGTCCAAACGGGTTCTGGGTGCTGTCGCCGCTTGCGTGGAAGTGCGTGGCTGTGCGTGAAATATTATGCTGCCGAAACATTGGGTATCTTATCCCACGCGTGGCCATGCGTTTTGGACGAATCAAAGGGGTACCAAGATAAGAAATTTCCTTATATGGAGGGGGGGGTAGGGGTCGTGAAAAAAAAGTTTTACACCTATTTTTGAATGTCGAGCAGGATAGCCCCTTTCGATGTTTCCGTGACAGAAAAAAAGTCTCCATTGTTCGGGCGCATTAGGAGTTTAAACCAAGGGTGATATGCCCACATTTTGAACATAGTGGCGGCAGTTCTCCAAGTCCAGACTTCGATGTGGAAATTACCTGAAGTAAAATAGCGCGGCTGATCTGACCCACGTAACTCTGGCCGCATATTATTCTGCATGCACCGCTATCCATGATTTATCTTTCCTCCTGGTCAAAATCACCTGAGCTATGCATTTGGCCTCCACAGTCAAGGAGATGGAATTCACCTGTAGGCTACGATACTGTAACTGCTTGGTAACTGCAGCTCAAAAGCCTGCAATTGAATGCCGGATGCAAGACAATTTGAATATTCATTCGCAGCTTCAGTCCGGGAACCATGCTCACATTCCATAGCATTATTTGCAGTGTGTTGGCCAGGAAGTGTTGCGAAAAGACTGGGTTCGCAAGCGTGCAGAAGCGAGAAACAGCTACTTTCGGTGCCGTGGGAATTGATATATCATCCTAAAAGGAAATATGACTCATGGAGGGGGGGGGAGGGGTCTCGCCGAGGCCCGAAAAAAAAGTTTCGGGCGTAGTACATTTTCGCAGATTGGTACCCCCTTGGGACGAATGCAATCTTTGAACTCCTGATCGATCAATATTGTCCTCATCCGGTCAAATTCCGTGTTCCGTTTTTTTGGCCTGTATCTAAGCGGCTGCACAGTTTATCAAATGATGTGCTATCTCTCTCCTGTCCTTCCGATCGTCCATGCCGTACAGGCGGGGGTTTTACTCGCAAAGGCTGCCTCCTGTGTCCCACGGAATGCAGGGGGTCTACTTTTGAAGCCGACAACAATGAAGTGAGTCTCTCACCTCTTCGAACGAGCTTATCTGACACACCACTTTTAAAGATCCAAGACTCGCCACCCGCATTCCGACAGCCTTTGTCTCTGCGGTCACCCCTATCTCGCCCATTTGGTAGACCTTTAAAATGACCCCCGAGAACCCGAACAACGCTCGCAGAGGTGGTCCCAACCTACTTCACAAGTGCGGTGGATTTTGGAGTATAATTCTAAGCTCGGTCTATCTTTTATGACCACAAACTCACCAGAGCGAACAGACTCAGTCAACTTGGATGCCAAGCACTGACTGTACTTATTGCATCCAGAAATGGCTCTCACACGTGGGTGTACCACGTTAGATCATCCCATCCACTCAATTTCGACCGATAACCTATCAACCACAGAACTCTTTGATGCCTTGGCGTAATCGCTGCATTGGTCGCTGAAACGACGCGGTGCGTGTCTGGATTCGGCAATAACGCCAGACTGTTCAAGCGAGTCAACGGCGCATAGTCTTCCAGCCTTACAAAGTCCGATTTGCTACCGGCATTGTCTCCATGGACCTCGAGGCACTTCTCTCAACAAATTCCCCACCTTCCGATATTGTGGTCACGCAGGTTCGCCAACGCATCCAGGAGAAGGAGGAAAATATATCCCGGTTGAATGAAGAGATCCTGCGGAACTCTGCCACTCTGGTCCCCCTCACCGAGCGCTGGGACACCGAGCAGCAGGACCTTTCTGCACTGCGCATTATCTTCTCTCCCCTGCGATATTTCCTAGCAGAAATCCTTCCGACATCTTTCATTTGGCGTTGTGGCGCTCCAGCTAGATTCGTGTTCAAGCATAGATCCATTGCAACCACCCCCTTGTATTCGGGCAGGTCTGTTCCGTGTGGCGCACCCAGTTTGATTGGCACTCCTCGGCTGTGGGGCGACATTCGGCTACCACTGCAGGGACCACTGGACCCTCGGATTGCCACCCTCACGAGTTTTTTCATCGATCGATCCCCCCCGCATCCACCCCACCTTTCAATGTCTGTCATGACGAACGCATATATCGGTCCTCTCAACATCATCTGGTCCATTGGCGCCAGACTCGAAGCCCTCACCCTGCGCGTTCATAAAAAACGAGCTCCAACCTCTCACCGACATGCCGAGTACGACCTTCCCTGCTCTCCGCGTTCTAGATGTATATCTCCTTAGATCGTCAGGGATCTCCATCGCATTCGTTGGCACCGTTCGAGTTTTAGCGGACGCGCCCTGCCTCACAAGCCTCAAGCTCGACTCGGACGGATCGGAAGATGTGTCACGGTCTTCTCTGACCAGTTTCCGTGGGCTCAATTGAAAAAATTGCACTTGAGCTGTCGTCTCGGGCTCGCCCGAGCACGTCTCATTCTAAGCCGATGCTCGTCGCAAATTTGTATTCTCCCCGATGTGTTCTTCATGGACAACGAAATCGATACTCCGGACTGCGTCTTACCAGAACTCCACACACTCATCGGCTCCCCAGAATCCCCCGACTTCTATCAGCCATTTTCCTTCCCCAAATTGCGGATATTGAATATCCGGTATCTATCGTCACCCGACATCCTTCTAGCACTCGAGGGCCGATCGGGATTTCATCTCGAGGAACTCACACTTTCAGACTAGGATTTCCCCCCTTCGACGTTATCTCAATTTCTCTGCAAAATCCCGAGCCTGAAATATTTGCGCTTCGACATTGACAATAGTCCACTGAAAGCGCTTGTCTACTCCGACAGAGAGAACCATACGATGCTGCCATCCCTGAGAACTTGTCGCTGTCCACCCAGACCACCATTGCTGGTGACATTCTGGCGAACGTGATCGAGTCGCGTTCATGGCCAGAGTCCGCCCGGGGTCCTCCGACCTCCCTCCGCCAATTTCCCAGTTTGTCTGCGGTCACCCTTGTGGGCGACTACTGAATTTCTCAGCTTACGCAGCATGTAGAGACGAGGCTCGGCGCCTTGGTCGCCGCCGGCGTCTTGAAGTATTGATGGTTTAATTTTTCTGCGGCAGAGATCTTTCTTAGTATACTCATAGGTGAGTGCCTCGCGCTGTAGGGCTCTTCAAATGTTGAAATACGGGACAGCCTCGATATTTACGTGTGTGGCATGTTCTGTCCTCGTTGTAGATCCTATGCAATACATCATCGCGTGAAGTTCCCCAGCGCGGGCGGCTGAACCTGGAGGACCTCGAATGCGTAGGTTAATTCTTAGAAATGTATGTCGAATGCAATCTGGGTCGCCTCCATTCCATTTCGAACACTGGGCCGAGGGAATCCCGCAGCTGCGACCCATTCAGAATTTCGGATCTTCAGTTTTGGACGAAACTGCACCGCCGCTTAGGTATTGCAGCTCATGTGTGGACCGTGGAATCTGACGTGGTGCACGGTGCACGGCCTCGGCGATGATCGCCCAACAACTGGTACAATCAGGAAGATCAGGCGGGTTCGACTCCCGCGTCCGAATAGAGAGATTTTGAAACATATTTTATCACACATCTAAAACACGTCTTCTTGCAGTGTGAGCGATCACATCCTAGATCTGGTCACTGGCGCTCGACTTCCGAATTCTGATCGTTCAAGCCAATTTGATTCGTCGAACTCTACCAAATCACCCGCCGGCAACTTCGACACAACTGTACTTATAGCTGTCTGGGGTATCACAGGTCCTGCTTTGGCCTGAGAATCGGACGTGGTGTATGGAACACAGCCTCTTGTGGTGGGGACCCCGGGTATCACAATTATGAGGCAGTCCGGGGCTCGACTCCCCGCGTCCGAATAGCTTGCGGCTGTCCGGTATTTTTCTTCCTAATAGCAACCCCCTGGAGTTTAGCCAGCCGCTTTCGCCCGAATTTTCCTGCCGGTGCCTCGGCTAATCTGACAGTCAAATTTGAGGGATTCAACCTGGACAGTACATCATGGCAAGTGGTCTGGGCTATTGCACCTCTTGGTGAGATCTGGAATAGGACGTGGTGAACGGTGCACGGCTCTCGATCTGTAGTGCTACTTTGACGGCCTACGAAGCAGCACGGATTTCGACTCCCCGCATCCCGAATGGCTTGCGGCTACCAGCATTTTTACTTCCAAACCGCAATGTCTTGGAGTTTAGCCTGCGGCATTCGGTCAAGCTCCCCTGGCTCGGGCTAATTTAGTAATTCGGCATGTGGCATTTCACAAATTCAACCGCGGCAGCTTCGACGAGAATTGCGTACCCTGTCTTGCTATTCACCTCTTGGTTGAGTTGCGGACTCTGAAGTGGTGCACGGTGCACGGCCTCTAGCGGTGCAGGAATGCGTGAAGCAAAGTATTAGGCAACCTGGGGTTCGACTCCCCACGTCCGAATAGTTGTTGTGGATCATCGCTTTTTGTACTTCCCAACCCAACCCTAGAGTTCAGCCTACCGCATTCGTCCCAATTATCCCGCCAGTGTCTCCGGCTATTTTGACAAGCCAAATTTGAGAAATTCACCCGGGGCAGCTTCAACGAAAATGGTCAAAGCTGTCTCTACTCTTTCTCTCGTGTGAGTTTGGTATCGGACGTGGTGCACGTTGCACGGCCTAAAATAGTCAAAAGCTGTGGATGTTGCGAATTATGAGGCAGATGGGGGCTCGACTCCCAGGATTCCCTGCTTTTGTGCTACCGAACTCCGCCTTTTTTGTGTGTCACCGCGCTCTAGTCAGTCACTGGCGCTTGAATTCTGATGGTATTCCTCGAATTTCACAAATTTAATCAGGGCCCTTCGACAAAAATGGTGCGAGTTGTCTGGGGTCTCACAGATCCTAGGCCTGATTTGGCCCGAGAATCGGGCGTGGTGCAGGGTGCAAGGCCTCTGACGGTTGAGTCACTAGCGTTGTTTCCAAAGCAGCACGGGGTTCGACCCCCCGCGACCGATTGGTTAGGTCTGAATGCCAAAAAGTTTTTTCTTCCTTTCCCAACCGCAAGTTCCTTGCAGCTCGCTAAATTAGGTGGTCCAAGCTAATTTGACGAGTTGGCTTTCACAAATTCAACCTCGGTAGCTCCGTGTGCAAGCCACAGATTCAGATGAACAGCCGCGTTCCGTATTGCACCTCTTGCGTGGACTATGGAATTGGAGGTGGTGCACGGTGCACGGCATCTGGCGGTAGAATGGGTCCACTGTTATGAGGGACACCGGGGTTCAACCCCCCGCGTCCGAGATTAGCCAGGTCGATCTATTTTTTCGTCAACGTACTGCGAGTCCTGTCTCCGGGAGAAAATCCTCAGATCTGTTTATTCAAGCCTGCTTTAGGACTGAGCGACGCTACGATGAGGACGAGGAATGAGCGCGGGCCAAGCCGCTCCGGCCATCAAACACTGGTTGTGCTTGGTCCTGCCGGTGCGTGTCGGCATCTTATTTTGATCTCGCTCCACCACCTCGATCGCGCTAGCCTCGAAGAGGCCTTTCTATCCTCCTCCTATCTCAGGCACCCGCAACTCAATACCCTGGCGATTTTCTTCATTCATCCCGGCGTCCATAAAGCCGCCATGTTTCCCATCTCCGGGTCCCGCCCCTTACGATCATGCCCATGTCCTCTTTCCCGCACTTCCTCCGCGACTTCGCCGTCTGCGCCGCCCTCTCCTTCCTAATCATCCTCGGCGCCATACACGCCCTGCAGCATCTCCTGCACATCTACTGCGTCTCGAGCCTCGCGCTGCACCGTCACATGCCCCTCGTGACCATCCTCACCGAACCCGCGGTGCAGCTCGCCCTCCTCGCCGAGGCGAATACCTACTTCTTTGTCGTCTTCAAGGTCACCGTCGCGTGCACCGTGCTGGTGTTCGCGTTCCGCGAGCTGGCCCTGGCCCTGGCGCTCGGCGCGCGGATGGGGTAGTGGGCGAAGAGCAGGGAGCAAGATGCGGAGGCGGGGGATGTAGACGCCGATCGCAAGGCACCAGTTCCGCAAGAGCTGGGGTGGCGGCGGGTGGAAGAGAAGCACGTCGTGTTGCGGGACTTTGGGTGCGTCACTTCATCTTTCTACATCTCAGTCAATCTCACATGACTCTCGTAGGTATCTGGCCCCGATCCCGGAAGTCGATGAGACGGCCGAGCTCACGCCCTCACTTATATTCTTTCCCAATCGCTATCTCTCTCTCTCTCTCCCGTACCCGCCGCTCTGGTGTTCGTCCCCCGGTGGGCAACGTCGCACCCTCTCGGTATCGAATATCATTACTTAGCAATCCTTTGCGCTCCCTTCCATCTAAACGCCGTCGCGCTAGAAGCCTCTATTATCTCCACATCTTCGTTGGGTCTTCCGCATTGCTTCCACCCAAAATCGGCGAATGGCTCTGGTATCGAAACTTCGTCCTAGACGTCAGGTACCACGGCGACACCCGAGGACTTCTGGGCGCGGAATGTCTTTCTCTGTCCGTCATTTCACTGAAAGCCGCCCACCCAGATTCAACGCGCCTCCTGTCGTCTTAGCATTCGAAGGTAGTAGGTAGGTCCAGTGCGAGAAAAAGCTGTTCCTCCGCTATTCGTTGCCTGCGGCGCAGACATTCTTCCCTTCGTGCTCCTAGACAATCTACACCCTGAACCTCCGGCGTTGTCCGGCGCGGGTCCTCTTCCACTCTTCTCTCCTTACCATGCTGCTCTCTTTCTTATCCTCTGCGGGCGTACACAGTCTACTCCACACCTTTGGTCAGAAGCTGAGAACCAATGAATCATCTACCCTAATCGTACGTGCTCTGCACCGTGTCATGGTGGATCAGCGAAATTTGTGCCATGTCTGATAACACTGATTTCGCAGCTCTGGCTCTGGATCGTTCTATTCTATACGACGTACTGAACGCTGGGTCGGTATGCATGCTGGGACGGTTTCGGGCAAGCGGTCCATTACCATTAAAGGCGTATTTACACCTCGCATTTATACCTCTCTCTAGCCTCCAGGGCACCGATAAAAATGCGCAGTTCGCAAAACTGTCCCTGCAGCAGTCCAAATTCACCGCTTGTTCGCAACTACTGGGCAACATCTCGGAATTCGCCGGCGTTCGAGAACTGGAACTAGTGTGGGTGAATAGAACGGCGCCAACCGGCTAAGGAGTTGTCCCGCCCCTCGATCCCTCTCTGGAATCTCTCGTTTCAGGGATCATATTTCACAAATTTAATCCTGGCCCTTTCGCCAAAATAGTGCAAGTTGTCCGCCAGGGCTGTGTCTAGCCAGCCTAGCGGACGGCAATTTAGCCGAGTAGCATAGCCTCGGCGTGCCTCAGCAGACCAACCCGCGACTGTACTCCACTATTTCTGGGCGAGCCCCCTGCTGAACGCAGTGATTGTAGCCGGCGCCCGAGACCATCGAGCACTGCCTGCAGCTGGCTGTTTCCATAGTTACCATAATGAGAACGTCGCCATCAACTTTCAAGTGGCAAGATACTCAACCATATGGCCAAAGGCCGAGATATTGCATCACGAATTCAAAGTAACACACAAGTAGCCTGAAAAATTGATACCAACTCAGACTCCGTCTTTGCCAAGCTACCCAGTGTGTAGTATTTCCCGTGATATGATCGTTTTTTACTCCAACAAACTATATGCGCATGCGATGCTAGGCAGTGTTCTACGTAATGGCTCACATCACAGATTTCTCTTGACGTTTCTGAGATGTGCGGTACTCACCTCCATCAGTGTATCAGATATGTAGACACGACTACAGCGGTTATGCATCTTTCGTCCTTGCCTTCGCGAGCATTCCCCTTATTCACCCTTTGAAGATCCCCCTCCTCATCGCCAATGTCCTCACTAGACCCAAAATGTTTGGCAACTTTCCCCGGTGTCGGCGGTGGCTTCAATGGTGCGCGACATGCATCTTTTCTCATTCAACTATGGGCACCGGGGCTGCATGGTATAACGGTAACCAGCACCCCTGGTCTCTGAGTAAATCGGAGATCACCGGGCCTTGCTAAGGTCGAGGGTTCAAACCCCGGTGAAGCCGTCCCAGGAGGGTTCTAGTGGGTATTACCAATTCAGTTTGGTCGAGTCCCACACTGTTCGGCATCTGCCGTTCGTGCGTAAAAGCATTCCCGCCTTTTGGAGTAGGGTCACATGTCCCCTACGTTCTTTGCGGACCCGAGGGGCTAATCCATTATTAGTTGCCGAAGGTCATAACAAACGCACCTCCAAAAAAAAAAAAAAAATTATGGCACCAATGAAGCCATTTTGAGGCTGCTCGTCGGGAAACACCACGTCCTGGAGACATGTTGCAGCAGCGTTGGCGGCACGGTAACATCGTCGAATGGCACATGCGGCTGCCCATTCGACTCAGCTTTCACCCTGAGCAATCAGGGAGCTTTTCTCGATTGCTCCACAAACGATCACTTCGTCTCTGCGTGCAACACACCCAATCCTTCTGCGGCCACGGCACTTCCCACAGGCTGCTCAACCAGCAGTTTCCAAGGTCCTCAGCATATCCCTCAAGTTAGCGGTAGCTTCCTTGGTGCGTATCTGCTCAATGCATGCAAAGAGTATGCAGGATAACGTGGCACTTTTTTGACAGGTTGTACGGCGAGCGTTGCAGGGGCTCTACAGCAATGTTGCAGCCAGGTCGGCAGCACACCAGCGTTCGTGAATGGCACATGTGGCTGTCCATTCAACTCGGTATTCACACCGGCACTCTGGTTGAACTGGTCCACCTGTGTGACCCAATCCAGCTTCGCTGTTGATAATTGCAACTTGGTCTTCAAGCCAAGCTCTGCACCAAGCCTGCCCCTACCCTTGAATGCCGCTGCCGTTCTTCTGGGTCTCTCCCTGATGTTCAGAGCAATGGG